AAGTCTGAGACGATTGACTGATATTTTGCAAATGAAGTATTTACAGTATGGTTCTTAGATTTTAATAACTTGTTCTGTAATTTTATGTTCTAATACATTCGATTATCCCCACTCGTGTTCTTTTTGACTAAACTACTATTAAATTTGTATTAACATTTTCTTATTCCCATATAGCTGTATTTTTGAGAAATTACCTCTACATGTGTCCTAAAAAAGAAATATTATGATAGTGTTATTCGTCCATCTACGTTAGCCAGCTAACAAACGGACGTGGGAATTTACTGTGGTATAAATATGTCAATCGCTAACTCTAAAGTTTAGTGTAGATTGCGTGATTTCGGTTATGAAATACACCAATAATTTTATATAAAGGTTTCATATGAATTAAATTGACCTGTTCATTGAGATGTACCTTTTCAAAACAATCTTACCTATTACAACTTCAAACTGACTGGAACTTCATAATTTTAACAAACAATTCTGTATCAAACATGTCTATCTCATAACTGGTACAGTGACTAGCATTGTTTAAGACAAAATGGATTACTTGTATGCACCTTGACTACATAGTGTTGTGGTTTCAGAATGTACTTTTTCCTATGAAATATGAATTCAATCGAAGGAAGCATATCGATTCGACCACAGTCAATGAATTTTCTTCCAAAAATGTCAAAAGCATGAAGTAAAGAATTGATTCTTTTCACTTGTTCATTTGGTCCAATAATTAAAGATGTTCCAGTATCAATAACAGCAGAACATATGTTGCAAAAGTTTATCCCATTTATTTGCAAACTAAGTGTATATAGAAAACATTTTATTACAAAATATTTATAAAAACTGTTTTACCCATCTGTGAGTTAATTCACAATAAGTGTGGGTCTCTCTCAATAGAACGCTGTTAAACAAATTAGACTAGTTTACTAATATTTTCTTATCAATAAGGCTTATTTAAATTAACTAGTAAATAATCTTAAAGTTGTTGAAACGTCTCATTACGAATATTTTCCGATAAAGATGTAAGAATGTAATATAATAACTGTTCTTGAAATATTTCATTCAACAATTACCTATCTTGGATTACAGTGACATTTGTAAGAAGAAAAGTATGTGAAATATTGAACTTGAAGAAGTGATAAACAGGATGGGATAAACTATTGTGATTTTATTTGGAAATTCGTTATAACTCGTTGCCTTGTGTCCTATTAATATATGGCGGAATGATACCACCAATTAGAGAACAGTGATTTATCGACCGAACCAATGACACGTAAACCCGTACAAGCAGTCTAGACTCCTTATCTGTCCCTCTTCCTGCTTAGCCCTACCTGTTGAGTCCAGAACACCAATCTCAGCCTCTACGATATGAATCATGTATTTTAAACACATTGGGTTTATATGCAAACCAAACCCACCACAAAATAGAAAATAACATTTGTACAAGATCTATCCGAATGTGGCTGTGAATAAGGAAGACTGTAATTAATAGACTGGACATAAAACAAGAGAATGAATGTACACAGTTCAGCTACTTAACAATTATACAATAAAAGTATATGTATATTATTGACCCATAAATAGATCCGAACAGTTACCACTTAATATTATCGTCGAGATATAGCAAAAGTATTGTTCAACATTACTCGAATACATTTTAAACCGTCATTCGAACAGTAACTAACATTGGACATTCACTTCAACCTGACCGGAAACTATTATTTAGATGCGTCTCACTGTTGGTACAAACACACTAACTGAGATTCACATTTCAAACACATAATGCAATCCAAGTGACTTATTTATTTCAATCACTATTTATTTCCCATCCCCGAAATAGTGAAATACTTGTTGAGCCTAGTTTATGCATTATGTTCCATTACACTCATTCAATGCAAAAGTCATTTGAATTCCATTCTACACTCATCTATCTATAACCGATACCTAATAATCATATTCAAATTACAGTACCTTCAGGATGATAGTGTAGTGAACAAGAATATTATGGTTACAGTTTGAACTTAATGGCAGTTTGAGTAAAACTGAATATTTTCACACATTACATTGTTTGTTAATTTTATCAAAAGAGATTTCCTTCGTATGAATTCTAGTGAAATTAGTAACTGATCAACATTCTTAAGTATTTCAAAGTAGGAATGAGTGCTTCCGATGAACACTTAATTGGTATGATTGAAAAGACGTACGTTGATAAAAAGTAGTCCTCTTGAAAGTACTACTCCTTATGACTGATGCACTTATTGGATATTTTTCCAATCCCAATCTGACAAAGTGGTTAGTGATAATCAAACTGGGATCAACTTAAACACTTCTGCTTGAGGTAGACCAAACAACACATTGCATACGAAATTGGATGCAGACATCTAAAGAAGGAATGGCAAGTGGAAATAACTAAAAAGGACAGCTAAATAAAGGGTTGCTTGGAGAATTCTGATCGGCTGTCTATGACCCACGAAGGGTAACAGATGTAAGTAACTGAGTAAAGTGCCAATCTGTGTTCTCTCAAATTCCTATTGATGTTAAGAAAATATCATGATCATCAAATTAAAATTGCGTGAAAATCGACTACCTTAACATTTGAATCGCCCACATATGATTGTGAATAGTAGGTACATATTCAAAATCACCCTTGAAATATTTAGGATTTACACCACCAAGTACCAATTCACCACCGATTCCTTCACCGTTTTCCCTATCAACAAATAAGGAATCTGTGTCTAATTATTGATAATTTTTCTAACGTAATACACTGAAAGACAAGGTTAATAGAATAAACTCTAGTTAGTCGTTTGGACGCGATCTTACCTGATGTAAGAACCAATCACAGTATATGATCATGTCGTTGTGTAAATGTCTATGTGACAAATAATTTAGTAGTTCATTGTCTTTAATGCATATGCTTTATATAAAATAAAATCTACATCATTTGCGATGTAAAATACATTTACACGATGACAAAATTGAGTTGACCTGAAAAAATGTGATGTATTTCCGCCAAAGTCTTCAAACTAAGTGATAATTGTAAATAAAAGAGAGAGAAAATTAACATAGTATGGAACGAATAGGATATCGTCACATAATCATGGGCCATAAAATGATTTAAGGATTACTAGGACAAATTTAAGGTCACTACAAATTGTTTCTGTACATATAAGGGAGTTTTTAATTTACGAATCGTCTTGGCTTCTATAAACTTAAGAATTTGTCCTTGACATTTTCTAAACAACGTTTTAAAAGCTGTATTGATGTCACTTTTATTTGAGAAAACAGCTCTATCTCCCAGAATTTACATCTCATTTACCCATGTTAAAATTTCTAATTTTTCGATCAATACTCAAATAGAAAATCTCTATGTTCCTTTGGACTTTATGGTTCCCAACCAATTCCATGGTTCGCAAATCAGACACAGGTATATTTTGACTTGTGCTGGACCAGATAATGTGGTCTTTGAACGTGACAAGTGTTTTGGCGTGGTTGTTATGAATAAATGTGACTGTGGGGTAAAAATGTTATCTATACTTGATGAGTTCCTGGTGGATGTTTCATCTAATATTAGTGCTAGATTATTGACATCCAGAGTAAATTACAATCTAATGAAGCTCCTTAAACTGAACAAAGTGGAATTCAATTTACTGAAGCCTACCTGTTTCATACTCTCGAATTTATATGGATTACATAAAATTCATAAACTTAATAATCCATTACGACCGATATTGACACTACGTTGTTCACTTACAAATATACTGGCAAAATGGTGATCAAATTGCTAAACTCGATCCGTGAACTAACTGATCTTTCCGATGGCATTAATATTAAAGAAAAAACTGTGCATTCTTTTGACATAAACACGCTTTTTACGAATGTACCTCAAACTAAGAATGTTATTTCTTTTGTGACCATGTATGGAGTAATTTCCCCCTTTTTCCTATTTCATCAACAATTGAAACAACTAGTTTTATTATTTGTTCCGAAAGTTTAATCCACGTTTGAAGGTGAACATTTTCGGCAAGTTGATGGTGTTGTTATGTGTAGCCCGTCGGGACATCTCTTTGCTGATGTATTTATGTTATATGTTGAAAATATCATAAGTGAGCTCATCAGAGAGATAACACCGTATAGGTGATACATGAATGATGTATTAATCATATGTGATGAAGATAAACTCAATGGCGTACAGAGTAATATCGTAATGATCTATGAGGAAGAAAGTAATAATTAATTGCTCCTTTTAGATATACTCTTGAGTCGAAGGGAGGATTGAACCATAAAGCGGTAGCTTTATAGAATGCCAACGCGAACGGGTCAAAATTTTAATTTCCACAGTTTCTGGCCTTCTCAATCCAAGCGGGGTTTGGTAAGTGCATCCTTAATAAAAATCAAGAATCCGTACTACAGATTTATTTGAAGAAGATGCAAAATTCCAGACAGATATACTTATATCAAACGATTATCCATTCAAGTTTACAAATAAATGCAAAAGTCATTCAACAACAAAGCTTCCCTTTAATCTTGCTGCGAAGAAAGTGTTTTATATCTCTTTTTTCCTTTTAGAGGAGAATCTAACAGTGTTATCCGGAGACAGAGACTGAATTCGGTTATCGAAAAAACATTTTACTCTGCTAAACTGGTTTTGGTTAAACGGACTAAGCAAATGATTTGAGATAGATCTAGACATTGCATGACAAATTACTCCGGATCCCATTGGATTTACCAATTTACACGTTTTTATGAATACATACACTTAGGCAAGAGTAATCGACGCAGTGGTCTAGAGGTTAAACGTTCACGCGTGAGACCGATAGGTCCTGCTTTCTAATCCCGCGAGCTGGGTCGTGAGTGAGCATTGCTGAGGAGTCCCGTACTAGGACAAAACGGATGTCCAGTGCTTCCAGGTTTTCCATGGTTGTCTAGCTCTAATCGACTTATGAATTCAACTATTAGATTTCCTATTCGTTGCCTCTTACTTTTCTCTCTCTTTTATTTACAATTATCACTTAGTTTATTTGAACTTTCATTTAATTGACCATTGTCAATTTTCGAATAAAATGCCTTGACAAGTCTGAAATGCTTTTGTGGAAATACATTACATTTTCTCAGATCAACTTCGTGTTTTCGTTATACTATAAAAACGGATTAAGTGATTTAAGTAAATATTAATGCTGTGCATTGCGTCAATTACAAACATCTCTAGGTTTACGAAACAATGTTTCTTTACAAAACAAATGTTTGACATACTTTCATTGCTTAACCTGGTATAAGTGGTGGAAACTAAAAAATCAGAAGTAAAGGAAATACATAGAACATTAAAAACTGCAGTTCACTGTGCTTTATTATCAAACACTGGGAATCTAGTTATCCATAAATCGAATCAATTATAAAACTTGCAGAAAATCTATTATGTTCGTGTGGTTTACATTTCACAAGTTTCCGAGAACTAGTGACATTGTTAGCCGTTTTAACTTTATCTACACAATTAAGTTTCTACTATTTCAGAAGATGATCTTCTTTATAACTGAATTTCAGTGGATCACTTAATAGTTAAATATTATTTGTGTTTACCATGCCTTTTTATGTTTTGGACATCTACATTTTAGGCTAATGACAATTTATGAAAAACTAACAGAAAAATTGAACAGTACTAAAATAAGATCTGTTTGGTATCTGAGTCGTTTGAGATGTATAAGATAGATAAATACGTCACTACTTTTCTTAATTATCTAATTCTATTTATGAACATACATATGCGTATGAGGTAAACATATAAAGTGAACTTATATTAAGTTCTCTGAATACTGTTTTGAAAGGAAGTATTTATTCATTAACACAGTCGTCGGATACTTAGAGAATATTTTACATGTATTTAAGATCTAAGGCACATAATGATAAATTACTAAACAATAAACTTCTGTTTCATTTCAAATTCTAGCGGCCATTGCCATGAATTACTTAAAACCTGATCAATGTATGAATAAGTTGTTGGTGGTATATCTCTCTTTCTCCGAAGAAACTTCTCATAAGATCCGTTTTAAAAAGTACACTAAGTGTAGAAATAAGATGGAGATGATCAACAATATCGAGCTATCAATTCATACATACACGTCTCATGAAATTCAACTATATAAGCTTAAAAATAATAATTGTTGTGCAAGAGTTAACTTCGAATACATCCCAGAATCTGATATATATACTTTAAATATTGCTTTAGATAATAATCTCATAGCAAATGTATATTAAATAGGCTACTGTGAACAACAGATTTAATAACTAAGAAAATGAATCACATACAAAGATGTATAAAACAAATATCACACAATTTGTATTATAAACTCACCGACTTAAATAAAATGAAAATATTGGGTCCATATTCACACCATTAGCTAGTATATTCGGAAACATTGGAAGGTTTCCATCTTCCGATATCCGTCTACTCGACATGCCAATTATTCCATCATATTTATCAGATAAGTAATCGAGATTAAATATACTCCTCACTTCAGCAAACGCTTGATTCCGAATCTCCAACGAGTTTATCTATAACGATATTTTATTTCGAAACATTCGCAATTCTTACTCGTATAGTGTCCACACTCCAAAATCCAGAGAACTCACCATCCAGATATTTGACATGAAAACTGGAACCATCTGCTACATATGTCGACGATTTCGAGTTGTCGTAAAATGAAAACATCCAACAAAATATATCAAGAAACCAACACTTCCTTGAAGCTAACCATGTGTCAGTGGATCCTGTATCAAACAATACTCGTAACTTTTGAGGTGGAGTTCCCACTGATATCTCACCATAATACTGAAGCTAAATTAAAAGATTATTTCGCATTCAACATTTAGACAGTGTGATATGCAAATAATAATTATTCTTCTATACTTTAAAAAATTCTTTTAATTTGAAATAACTTTGAGATAATATGCACTTCTGGTCATGATATTTTGTTATTTGTATCGGTGATTAAATTGCCGGATTTTCCAATGAATCTATGATACTTTGCCTGTTGAGAACTATATCAATGAGCAATATTCCGTTGTATCGATTTTCACAGGCATACTTCAACAGTTAAACACCATAACTTACACTTCTACGTCGCTGTGTCATCGTGGTTACTTTTGGAAAATAATCCACTGAGTTTATTTCACACACAAGAAGAGAAGTCGTCATATTTCGTGTTGCTTATTAGACATACATTAAGTTGGATTTCATACTATGAACATGATTGATACACTTACGTTTTCATAATTAATCAATTGTTCCGGTGTAGATGTATTCTGCTTATTCCATTCATACTTCCATTTTCTCGTCGAAGGCTTAAAGTAAGTCGCACCAAGTCCCACCAATGAATCAGATCTTTTCAAAGGGTGGAGAGGAATTCTCACAATCTCACCAAGTAAATATGGTAGGAAACCGACAATTATGAATAGAATCATTGAAATCGGTTTGAGTACGCTGAAACGTAGTGATGTTTATGTCACTTTTATTTTGTTTTCATCATGTTTTATTGACAAAGGTGTGTCAAATTAACTAGAAGATTGATTATAAACAAACCTGATTACTAGTGGTAATTCGATACTTGTTTAATGTGCGTCACTATCACCAAGAAAATGGTTTGAATTACTAAGGAAACACACTTTTATTCTGTGAATCATTGTATGATGGGAACAGCTTCTATTGTGTATCAAAATTACGATAATGTATCAGTGTGATCTCCAACTCAAACTGTACGAGTATTGTTCGATACAGGATCCACTGACACATGGTTAGCTTCAAGGAAGTGTTGGTTTCTTGATATATTTTGTTGGATGTTTTCATTTTACGACAGCTCAAAATCATCCACTTACAGACCAAACGGTTCCATTTATAATGTCCATTATTTAGACAGTGTGTACTCTGGATTTTGGAGTGTGGACACTATACGAGTAAGAATTGCGAATGTTTCGAAATAAAATATCGTTATAGATAAACTCGTTGGAGATTCGGAATCAAGCGTTTGCTGAAGTGAGGAGTATATTTAATCTCGATTACTTATCTGATAAATATGATGGAATAATTGGCATGTCGAGTAGACAGATGTCGAAATATGGGAATATCCCAGTATTCCCAAATATACTTCAGAATTTCCCGAATATGGATCTAGTGTTTACGTAGTTTCGTTTGTTCATAGACTGAGTAAATTGGGAAAATTTGTCACTTAGCCAAATTGCTACGACCCGGTAACCGTATGTCCACACTCATCTCTTGTCATTCATCCTTCTTATATCCGTACACTCAGTCATCCATTGAGTTTCATAATTCCTACGATGCAGACATATTAGTCTAGGTTGACTAGATAGTTATGCACACTTTCGGACGACTTTAACAACAGATAAAACAAATAACAACTTCGGATATTAATTTTGTTTTCTTCAAATATTTTCAAATATATTCAGGCATTCTCCATATTTTCATTATTTGCAAACATATCGACAGAATAATTCAATCATACGTTCATTCAAACGATTTAAGTATGGGATATTGGAGTCAAACGACCGCATAATTGAAAAGATTCTAACGATGAATCGCTTTACTAGAACTCAGATCCCTGAAGAAATTTATAGTGTCTACACTGCATAATACATTGAAATCACTGTCCAGATGACTGACATGAAAATTCCAACCATCTGCTACATATGTCGACGATTTCGAGCTATCGTAAAACGATAACATCCAACAAAATATATCAAGAAACCAACACTTCCTTGAAGCTAACCTTGTGTCAGTGGATCCTGTATCGAACAATACTCGTACAGTTTGAGGTGGAGTTCCCACTGATATCTCACCATAATACTAAATCTTAACATAACGATAATTGAAGCACGAACATCAGATAGTGTGACATAGTGTCAGAGCAGTCGATTTGTTTTTGTTATCTAACGCTAGATATGAAGTTATTCCTCCGTTACGAATCATAGTTGATCGGAATATGTTTTTATTTCCATAACTGATTTTAATATCTACAAACTTCACCAGTGTGTGGCAGAATTTCAGTTGGTGGGAAGCGAGTAAAATATATTCTATCCTACTCATATCATTAAACAGATATTATCAATTCAATCATCACTACCTCTACCACACAATCACTGTGTCATAGTTACATCTGTGGGAAACATTCACTTAGTCTATTTCATGCACATATTAACGAGTGGCATCTACTTAGTATGAGATCAACGCACATTACTTGAAGGAAAGAAAGTTTGAGACTAACAATCTGACTGTAACACGTACATTTCTAAAATTAACGAGTGGTTTCGATTTTGATATTCTTTATGCTTCCAGTCATCCCCTCGATTTCTCGTCGAAGACATAAAATAACTTTTGTGAACTCCAAATCGTGAAGCGCGTCTTTACATCGTCAAGGCAGTTCTACTGTATGGAGCTGAAACTTGGAGAACTACAACAACCACAATCAAGAAAGTACAAGTATTTATAAATAGCTGTCTTCGCAAGATACTCAACATCCATTGGCCGGATACCATCAGCAATAGCCTTCTGTGGGAGAGAACAAACCAACTTCCAGCTGAAGAAGAAATTAGGAAAAGACGATGGAAATGGATAGTACATACATTACGCAAATCGTCAAACTGCATCACGAGGCAAGCCCTAACTTGGAATCCTGAAGGGAAGCGAAAAAGAGGAAGGCCAAAGAACACATTGCGTCGGATAATAGAAGCAGATATGAAAACGATGAATTACAACTGGACGGAGCTAGAAAGGATTGCCCAGGACAGGGTTGGATGGAGAATGCTGGTGAGCGGCCTATGCTCCTTCACGAGGAGTAACAGGCGTAAGTAAGTAAGTAAGTAACTAAATTCCCATTCATATTCTGATAGATAATGGTGTTCGTGTTACTCTGGTTTTATTTCATCATGCTATTATTGACACAAACATCTTCAACCAACCTGATCAATATATTGCAAATTAAGTTGTTTATTTGTGGTAATCTGATTCTTGTTTATCTTGTATGAATGGTTTGTTTTACTTACTTCTTGAATTTCAGAGTAATCATTTCCATTGTGCGTCTTATCATTTCATGAAAATGACAGTTGTTCAATAGAAAATTCTTATAAATTTGCTGAAAAATGCCTCCTAGCCCTAACATTACATTTCCGGTTAGCTTGCATTCAATCGTTCGAACGTACATCAGTCAAACTGCATTCCACCCATTTGAGATTGACCACTATCACCGGCATCTTCAATTAGACCGATCATTGAAGGTGAATGGCCACCAATACTAGTAGGTGATTTAAGTATTGATGGTAAATTAGCATTACTATATAATAATGACAAATTTTTTCCTTTGAGGTAATAGACACTTTACTATAAATATCAACCATGATTGAGTGAAAGTTACATGGGCAAGGTGCCGGATGTTTTGTTGAGTATAAAGTCTTATTTTGTGTATTAGCATGTGCTAATTAATCCTTTGTAATATTTAGTCATTTGATTTCAAAGCAAAAACCTTGAAGTAAACTGTAGATGACCATGTGAAAAAAAATATTCTAGAAAATACCATGACCCTAAACGAGAATTCTAATTCCTTACAGATTTTACTCAGTTTGGTTTCGATTTTGTAATGATGCTAGTTGAATATTTCGACAATTAATAGAGGTTCGCACTTCAGATAATGAGATATGACATTATGTTTCTAATCTATTATTAGAATCATTGTTACCGTCTATATTATTCGGCAGACAAAAACGTGTCAAGTGGTTTATGAATGCTCTACTTCTCATCCTAGAGAATATCTAGATATATGGGAACAAACAGAAAATTGTGAAGTCGAATGTGAAAATGATCATGAAAATAACACTAATAGGTTGAGTTTTAAGGTGCAAAACATCTTCCTTAACTCGCTTCAAGGGGTTCGTTAACATGATTCACTTCTTCAAGCTGCATAGTCTACTGATCAGATGAATTCGTTTGTCTTCGTTAACGTATCTTTAGAGTCTGATCGTACAGTAACGCTGTTTGTTTTTCATGGTTATTTGGGCGATTCAGTCAATTTTCATGTGAAAATGCAGATTCAATACCGTCCCAACCTATCACTTTCCTTTACCGTACGTATAATATTCCTCTACTGCAATGTATGAAGGAAAAGAAGAGGATTACGATAATGGACCACACCTATTAGAAGGTAAGAATGAAATTCATTCTAGATGTTTTTCAAAGAACTAGCTCTTTCACTGTACCATAACTTTTAAAAGCACTACAATTAATAAAACAGTTATTATTTGTATATGGGATGCAAATGTGGGTTTCGCGCTTACGTTGTGGATATGTACATTCCAATACACCGTAATAATAAATTTGAAAGGCATAACTTTGTTGAAATTCGTTCGTATACAGTGTACAGTGTAACCACTTGTTTATTAAACACAATATTCACGTTACGTAAGGATTCCAATACAAAATTCAGTGGTGTTAGTAAACAGAGTAAGCGGATATACATACAAATGAAACAGGGATTGGCACAAGAGCCAAATCGGGGCACAAATCTTTATTTATTCTCGTATGTAATTCAGGCAGACGTTCAATACGTAAGTGATAAACAAGAAAACACATTGACAGTACACTAATAAAAACACATATTCGAAATGCAAAATAATTAACAGAATTAAAAGACAGATACTACGAAAAATTCTCAGTATGAGGAATCTCTTAATAATTTTTTGAATTCAAATTTGCTATAAATTTTGTATTTATATTTCATTCACTGTTGAACACACAATTGTAATTTCTATATTTTAGCAACATATTACTGTTTAATTAAATTCTTGTTTCATTCTTCTTATTTAAAACATAAGTTAATCCAATACGTTTCTGACCGAAATCGAATACAGTATAGAATCTTCTCATAAAAACGTCACCGAGAATCCAAAAATTCGGTGGTACAGAATCATCAATGTCAAAAGGTGACGAACACACTGTTTGAAACCAAAAGTCCTCCTGTAATCAAATGAGGAAGACAACAATACAGAAGTAAATTGTTTTGTTCTTATCAGTTAAAATAGTATTTTTAAAACGGATTAAAGACTAGATGCTTATTATTCTCTTCTGTTATTTGCTTTCACATTTATAGAATGGTATAAGTTATCTGTGAGTGTGAAAGTGTGTAGTTCATATTTTCTACCACAACAGTAGTTCATAATGAATTATTTAAATATCAGTTTAAACTTCGCTTTTAGTGAAATTTTCTACGATCAATTATAAACCTAGGAAAGTATTTCGATTAGTAAACAGTTTTGCATTTCCCATTGCAAAGAAAGGAAACTGTTATTAAGTAGTAAACTCTCTCTTACTGCCTTGTCAATTACAACTTCTATTAATACATTATACACTGAAAGCTAACTTTACCAGCTTCATTTTAATCCGATAATTAACTGTCCTTATC